CCCCAAAACCCCAAAACCCCAGAACAAAGATATCACAATTTAACTATTGAATATTGAGTTAATTAATCAATTGATCATTGATCTAAGAATAATAAATATACCAATAGTAAAGATTGCCATTCCAGCGCAATGCATCAAGATATCATTTTTATTGTACTTTACCACTATTTTCTCAATTACCTCTTCTACATTATCTTCCTCAATTTATTAAGCTTTGTTCTATGCTTTCTAAGCGAGTTCTTCTTATTCAATTCTCTGTTTTTCTAGTTTTTCGAAATAGTTTGCTGGCACCTCTGGGATTTAAGGGCTAGCATCTAGGATATAGCCAGTAACATGCCATTTTTGAGTCTCAGTAACGTGAATTTTCACACATTTTCCAATTAATGAATTTGCTGGTTGGCCAGCTAAACTCTCAGAATCTTGATTGATCACTACCTTGGTGTATGATTTAGTATGACCCATTAACTGTGGTAATGTTCCCTCTTGAGCAGCTTTCTTTCTGTCATCAAAGCCTACAATCCAAACGAGTTATTCAGTACCAATAAAATGATTGTTTGTTGAGTATGAGTCGAAAAGTTTTGTCAAGTCGTTACTTCTCTTCTTAACATCTTAACTTGGAACTTTCTTCCATTTTGCTGCTACTGTTCCTGGTCTTGGATAGAATTAGGAGATATTAAGAACAGGGAATTTATATTTCTCTACTAGTTTAAGGGTATCAACAAATTCCTCTTCAGTCTCTGTAGGGAAACCGCAGATAATATCGGTAGCAATAGTCATATCCTGAACATTCTCAATTAAAAAATCACAGACCTCTTCAAATTCTTCAATCAAATATTCTCTATTCATTTTATCCAAAACATTATTATTTCCACATTAGACTGGAACATGCAAAAAGGAGTAGACTCTAGGATGGTTAAGAATATCAGCCATTGCTTGCAAATGCTCAAGAATATATGGAGGATTAGTCATTCCAACTCTTAGCATGGTGTGCTTTGGCATTACAGAGATCAAATTCCTCAATAATTCAGGTAAGCTAGTTCCAATATCTCTTCCATAAGCTCCTGTGTCTTCAGAAGTCAACCATATTTCCATTACACCCTCTTCAATAGCCATTCTTGCTCTCTCAACAATAGCATTTGGATCATATGATCCCAGTTTACCTCTTGCATGTCTAGTCTTGCAATAAGTACATGAACCAAGACATCCAGTTGATAGAGGAATAATTTCGATTAATTAATTTTTCCTAATCTTAGGTAAGTCCAAAATAGGCAAGTCTTTTTTAGCTAATAATTTAACATTATGGCCTTTAAGTGCTTCTTCAACAACTTCAACAACTCTGTCAATCTAAGTGACTCCTATAACGCTGACATCCTCAAGACCTTTAATATTTCTATCGCCCTAGGGGACACATCCTGACACTATGACTGGTTTCTTTTTGCCTTTGGCTGATTAAACAAGACTAGTAAAGAAGTTATTTAAATTGATAAAAGGATAATACATACTTTACAAATTTCTCTTGGGAAGGATTTTTTACTGTACATGAATTTATCAAGCATGCATCTGCTTCGTCCATATTATCAACAATCTAGTACCCATATTCAGCTAGTAGCCCTGCCATATATTCACTGTCTGAGATATTGTGAGAGCATCCATAAGTCTTAACAAATACCTTTTGACTTCCTGGAACTCTCTCATCTGCCTCAGCTTCTTTCGCTGACTCATCATGCTTTGATTTAAACTTAGATGCATCTATCACTACTCCCTCAGTCTGAGAATCTTCTTCTTTTTCCTTTTTAGCTCCGAATTTTCTGACAATTTTTCTCTTTGATTGAGGAATTCTTTCTTCAGTATCCTAGTTATCATTTTTAAAGAGATCTTCAATGTCCTCCATTCCAAATTATTAACCTTAAAAGTAGTATTTATTAAACCAATCTCTATAATTCTTATTTATTTGTAAAAAAATCATCCAATTATCATTGACCTTGGGGTTTTGGGGTTTTGGGGAGATCGGAAGAGCGTCGTGTAG